ACAAAAGATATGGCTCTTCTTTGTCGCAATTTAAAATGGTGAATCAGGAACTTTAAGCTTTTTCAATGGAATTATTGCCAGACTGATAAAATTTAACAAGTGTTTACAAAAATACATTCTCTGAATGGTCAGTTATATATACACCATTGCAAACCAAACAATAGGGTTGAACATTTATATAAAGTTTGATTATCCAGAAGTTAAACTCCTCGCGATTCCGACCTGGGCTTCAATTGACTGTTGCATAAAATATCAACCGTATTTTATTGCATGTACATGTAATAGTTTCTCCATAAAAACGTCAATAATGCATTGAGGATTATAACTTTGTTAAAAATAATAATAATAATAATAATAATAATAATAATAATAATAATAATAATAATAGTAATAGTAATAATAATAATAATAATTATAATAATAATAATAATAATAATAATAATAATAATAATAATAATAAATAAAATTAAATAAAAATCAATAAAAAAAAAACATTCGCACCACTGGAAATATTTATTATAGTTCTACAGAAAATGAAAATAATATTGTATGGGCAATACAATGTTATATCGTAATTTTAACTATATAAAGTCATCGTATTGCATGTTTCAAAATGTGTATGAAATTTTTCAATTAATCAACTGAAGAAATTAGAATGAAATGCTGAATATACACATTGTAAAGATGAATACAAACCTTGAGACAATAATTGAAAAGAGAATATTTGCAATTTCCTATATAGCCTTTCTGTTAGACACATTTATTAAATACATTTTCTTAGAGACAATTCCTTGAAATTAAAACATGCAAAAATCCACACCAATTTCCCAGAATTAACCTTTTAAATCGGAAATTGAAATTTATAGTGTCTGCTTTTACAATTTGAGATGGTATTTCTTAGAATCTATTGTTTTAAAGGCGCGTTAAGCTTCATTTTGTGACATAAACATAAAGAAAAATGGCTTAATATTTAATCATAAAATGGCCAGAGTTGATGTCTAGTTAGTTTCTAAAAAGCGACTTTTAAGCAAATTACCTGAACCATCTTTTGCTTATGTTGATTTTAGCAATAAGTACAAGTGTTATAGTGATTAAGTATTTTGTATGGAAGTCAAAACAGTGCTTTATTTACATTTTGTTTCTTTTATGACAAAGTATTTTATGTTTCTCAGATAGAAACATCTATCTCTAACATGCTCTATAATCATGACTAGTATTAAACCATTTATACATTTATAAAACTCATGTTTTGTCTGTTTTTAGGAAGAAAAAAATCGTTTCTGGTGTATTTCTGAGAGCTTTTAGCACCATAAACTGACCGTAAGTAACCTCTCAAATTATTATTGATTCTGCCATGAGCATAAAGTACACGAATCAATACTCCATCGCCCACGCATTCAACACTTCTCGCTCGACATAAACGTTTCCCAGAAAATTCTCACACCATGATTTTGTTCACTGCCCATTATTCGCACCATGAATATCATAAACTGAGCATAAATGAAAACTTGCAACACCCCACCACCTACGACGACAACAACAACACCAAACAAAAAAAACAACAACAAAAAACAGCAGCAGCAGCAGAAATAGCAGAAAAAAGCAGCAGTATAATCAACATCAACACAGGAACTAATAAATAAAAGATATAAGATATTCTGAATATTCACTTTATTTTATGTGTAAGACAAGTATATTTTATACGCGTGCAAGCTGTTATTAAAATAACCGGCGTGCCATTTGGAATAAATAATCAAAGTTAGATAGTATTTGATTTTTCGTTCTCTCGCCCTCTTTTTTGCAAAATAAATGACAGGATATGTGGAAATAAATACGATATATTGTGATAATTTGTCATTTTGTTTCTAATGTTGTTGAAGTATGCAAATGAAGAATGTTTTTTATATGTCACTTCACTGGCTTTGGCATTTATTAATCGCCTAAATAAAACTTTTATTTGTTTTCTGTTATTCCATTCCCATTTCCATTGACACAGATAGCTATGACATTGATTTACTATTCTTGCATAAAAACCGTATCATGCAAGTGTACACTGACAGAGAAAAGACAGGCATTTACATATATTCTTGCATTAAAACTACGCACGCAGGTATACATACACAGTGAGGAAAGTTACCTTAACGGATAGAGTCTCGTGACCACGCGCTGTTACTGCACGTTTATTATTTGTTTGGATCGTCAGATTTAAGTTTTAGGACCTTAGTGGAGCTCCTTTAATTAAATACCTTAACAAACTTATTTATTATAAACCGTTTTTAACTTTAAGGTCCCAGCTTCTTTCAATATTTCATTTTGATACCACTTTCAATTGTTCTTGCGTGTTAATGCTCGAATGACGAACAAAAACTGTTTCGCGCATGTCACGTGATGGTGTGCCAATCACGTTAACCTTTTGGTCCTTCCGAATAATCCAGGCGGGGAACAATAGTTTTGTATAAATACATAGCAAATTAAATCGTGTTACTGAAAAGAGATCAGAAAATGTTTTGCTAGGGTCTTTAACGGATTTGTTTAGTAAAGTTTTTTTGGTGAGAATCAATCAGTGGTTCAACAAACAAGATTGTCCCCGAGCGCTCAAGATTCATGGTCGAGTGATTTTCCATGCACTTTACTGTTAGCTACATTTGCGTGAAGTTTGTGAGAGGGATGTGACGGAAACTAAATTATTGGGAGGTTTGGAATTGTTTCTTTTATTTTAGGACGTCGAAGAACTAAGTATCAATAAAAAATGTAAGTGTACATTTGCGTGAAGTTTGTGAGAGGGATGTGACGGAAACGAAAGTATGGGAGGTTTGGAATTGTTTCTTTTTTTTTAGGACGTCGAAGAACTAAGTATCAATAAAAAATGTAAGTTATTTTATATTTTATTAAAACTATATAGCCGAAACGTAATATTATTACACAGGAAAACCGGGAAAGCGTTGCTGTTTTTTTTAAGGAAAAAATGTTATTGTATCACATAAAATTTGTAAAATATCAAATATTTTTCGTAGGTGCAATTTGTTTAACACAAGGTTAAATTTTCCATGAATAATGACTTTAACTATAAATTAGCATTAATCATAAGGAATTAATACATGTTAAACTTTTAATTTTCATGTGACGTTTCGATCATAGTTAACGGCATTTTTGACCATTATGATCATTATTAATATTTACTTACCATTGTAGCCATCTAATCAAGACCACCTGATACTTAGTGTGATGGGGTGGGGGATTTCAAGTGTTGTAGGATTAAAGTTAAATTTCTATCAATTGTTGTAGTGCAAGGCAAAAATTATTTGTTTTATAGATACTTTGATGGCAAAACTGTTTTAAGTTGATTTAAAATGCTGTTTCACGAAATGCAACTTTACTGAAAGTGTGTAATGTTTTTTTTTCCAGCATTGCATTGGAACATTCCATTCGAAGTTTATTCAAAAGCAGTTTGATGCGCGTGATGTCCTGTCTCTATACTAAAGTGGTAACATAGGGCAGATTACTGGTTTTAACTGTGGCACTATAATATATATTACTGTAAATAATTAGTACATGTACATATGATGATTCACTTAATGTGGGCCTACAATTCTTGATTCTTTTCTGTTTTAAAGGATGATAATTATGATTATTTCCTTCTATACTCAAAAGTCACATGTTGAAAAACCAGATAATACAATAGCTAACATGATTTTTTAACAAAACATTGTCATAGGTAATTGGCTTATGATATAAAAAAAATTCAGATATGAATAATTGATAGTTGGCATATGAGGTCTAACAAAGTATTGACACGGATGATTGACGTGTGATATGTAAAAATGACGGCCATGTTGATGACAATGTTGTTGGTTATGGTAATGTTGATGAGGACGTCCATTGGTGTAACAATGATGATGAAATGACGTTGTTCAAGGTAGTGAGCAGTAATCAGGTAAATCTAGTTATTTATAGAAACTAGCTTTTTTTAGAAACTAGTTATTTTTAGGCAAATGAGTTTTAACTTTTCTTCGTAAGTTTTATCAGTTTCAGAAGATGAAATTTCAAAAGGAACCAATGAACTTGACAGTAATCATACTATATCGGGCCATGCTTGTGGAACAAGGACAGCACACATTATGCGACGTAAAAACAGCATACTTATTTAATTCAACTTACATTTGGAAAATTTGACATTATAAGAAATTTGATATACATATATACATGTAAATGGTATTATGTCAGTAACTGAAATTGCGTAGAATTACAAAATTTTAGTTTAAAAACGAAGATTTTTTTGTCAAAATTGAAAACTATGTTTTATGTTTATGTATATTGACGATATTTTGAGTGCATTGTTTATATCGATTTTGGTTTCTTTCTCAAATTTTTGGAGTTGGTGTGTGATTAGGGTTTTTTTTCGATTTGGGTTCGGTGTTTTAGTTTGCCTCTTTGTGGGAGTTGTTTGTGTGTTATGGTAGTTTTTCTTTGTCTTTGTTGGAGTTGTTAATGTCATTTGTGTGTTATTGTAGTTTTTCTTTGTCTTTGTTGGAGTTGTTAATGTCATTTGTGTGTTATGGTAGTTTTTCTTTGTCGAAAATTCAGGCTTTATTTCTGAATAGTTTGGGAATTGGTGGTCGATAAGACAGTTGATTCTTTGCTGATACATTGTGATCGATTTGAAAATTTTGGATTTTGTTATACTAGTCGAATTATTATTATTCATCATTTTAAATAGTTATATCAATTTCATTAGAAATGGGAGACATTTATAGTTATATTAAATATTTAGCTGTACAATACCCAATTTTGTATAATTATATTGATGTTTAATATGAGTTATGATATTTTTGATAATTATATTAATATATAGGTGGAGAATGCGACAATATATTAAAGATAACATTGATTCTTTTAGATTTAGAACGTGACATTTCTAATAATGATATTTGGGTGTTGAATGCGACATTTTTAACAATTATATATACTGATTATTTTAGATGCAGAATGCGACATTTTAGACTAGTATAATTTAATTGTGCTTTGTTTTTTCATTGGTTTTCAGATGGCGTAAGAACACATCACTGGATTACTTTTGAAAGACAAAACTAGATAAAATTGTATATTTATAAATATTACCACTATATATTTCAGACTATTGTTCGATTGATGGTAAAAAAAAATGTTTATTGATCATTGAGCAGACGTAAAGCAGGAAATTGCGGGAACAATCCTAGCAGACGACAGTAGTCGCGCAGATGCAATCATGCACCATATCAGACTGCCCGAAATTACAGGCTGGCCTAGCTCTATACCGGACTCGCTTTCAGCAGGTTAGGGTTTTGAAAAAGGAAATCATAACTTTGTAATGTATGTCTTATTTACTTTTTGAAAAATAAATTTTCGTGTCAATGTAATAATTATGTTGACATATCAATATTGTCTAATTTGATTTATATAATTACATGTATGCCACTTAGTTAACTTGATTTAAAGCAGTCATGTTTAAAATAATAATTTAAGTTTACAATATATTCTTATCAAATAAGCATAATAATGCTGAGTTATGGGTCATTAAGAACATTTTAGTAATTTAAACAAATAACTTATAATCTTAGTTACAATTATTTTTAAAATGCTAAAAAGTGTACATTTGTTCGACCATGTTACTAATAGTGTATCCACAGGAAGCAGACGACAATGAATTTTAAAGTGGAAATTTGCGACTTCAGGTGTGTCTGCTACTCGATGTTGTGATTTCAGTTATTTCCCCTGACGTTCAGTATAATGAAATGAGGGTCGAGGTAAGATATTTTGAAGAAATATAAATTTTAGCTAAACATAGAACAATACATTTTACAGATAAGGGTTTGTGAGTCCCTGATAACACCTTTATTTCTGCAAAACATTTTAAATTGACTTGGCCATCTTCAAATCTGGACAAAACCATTACTCATTTTAAGGAAAAAATTTCAAAATATGTACTGACTTAATATTGGATAGTCCGGATCATTAGCAGATGTCAAGGATATGCCGACTGATTTTGGTCTGCACTGGTCGCACGGGTACATGTATATTATGTTGGCACTAGAAGGCTGAGAGTTAATCAACATATTGTACCAGTTACAATCTAAATACAAAAATATACATTCAATAACTTAATTCACGAATAGATAAAAAATATCGGCACTACATTAGTGATTGTGTCGAAGGAGGGAGATAATTATGAATGTATTACAAATAAAGGAGATAAAAATATCTCTTATTATAATTATACTATAAAATATCTTAATTATTTCTAAAGCATAATGTGTATTTTGTAATGAACTGGTGACTTTGATTGTGACACTCCGATAACATCTTAATTTTCAATCTATAAATAGATAATTTTTTTAACCTATATTTCAGTTTCAGGATTTGAAATTAGAAAAGAACGAAAGATATGAAATGAGCACTGGCAAACTGATCTTGGCATGTTACATCCTTATCACAGAACTGGAACCTACTGATTAAGATGAGGTAATAGTAGGTTTTATGAATATATGTATAGATTTGTTTCTTAGCCTGCTGAAAGCGAAAGTCATTAATCTTTGCCTCCAGAATAGAACCAGGCCAACCTGCACTTTTGTGCAGTTTGACCAGTCTTTTTGCTGTTTGCTTACTTTCAATTTTCATTTTCATGTGATAATTAGTTATAATTATTTATAATGGTCTGTTCCTTTAATAAAATGTGGAAAACTCCATTTAATAATTTCCGCAGGTTAAAGCAGTATACCTCCAGCTTCATGCTCATTCTTCATGTAAATTTTGAAAATGTATCTAAAAGAAAAAATATAGTGTAGTGAACAAGGAAAGTAATTTACACATTACAAATGTCAGCACAGTATTATTACATGTATGCCACTTAGTTAATTTGATTTAAAGCAGTCATTTTAAAAAAAATAATTTTAGTTTACAATATATTCTTATCAAATGAGCATAATAATGCTGAGTTATGGGTCATTAAGAACATTTCAGTAATTTAAACAAATAACTTATAATCTTAGTTACAATTATTTTTAAAATGCTAAAAAATGTCGACCATGTTACCAATAGTGTATCCACAGGTAGCAGACGACGATAAATTTGAAAGTGGAAATTTGCAACTTCCGGTGTGTCTGCTACTCGATGTTGTGACCTGACGTTCAGTATAAGAAATGAGTGTCGAGGTAAGATATTTTGAAGAAATATAAATTTTAGCTAAACATAGAACAATACATTTTACAGATACTGCAGATAAGGGTTTGTGAGTCGCTGATTACACCTTTAACTCTGCAACATAAATTTAAATGGACTTGCCCATCGTCAAATCTGGACAAAACCATTACTCATTTTAAGGGAAAATTTAAAATATGTACTGACTTAATATCGAATAGTGCGAATCATTAGCAGATGTCAAGGATATGCCGACTGATTTTGGTCTGCACTGGTCGCACGGGTACATGTATATTATGTTGGCACTAGAAGGCTGAGAGTTAATCAACATATTGTACCAGTTACAATCTAAATACAAAAAATATACATTCAATAACTTAATTCACGAATAGATAAAAAATATCGGCACTACATTAGTGATTGTGTCGAAGGAGGGAGATAAATTATGAATGTATTACAAATAAAGGAGATAAAAATATCTCTTATTATAATTTTACTATAAAATATCATGATTATTTCTAATGAATGTGTATTTTGTAATGATCTTGTGACTTTGATTGTGACACTCCGATAACATCTTAATTTTCAATCTATAAATAGATAATTTTTTTAACCTATATTTCAGTTTCAGGATTTGAAATTAGGAACGAACGAAAGATGTGAAATGAGCACCGGCAAACTGATCTTGGCATGTTACATCCTTATCACAGAACTGGAACCTACTGATTAAGATGAGGTAATAGTAGGTTTTATGAATATATGTATAGATTTGTATCTTAGCCTGCTGAAAGCGAAAGTCATTAGTATTTGCCTCCAGAATAGAGCCAGGCCAACCTGCACTTTTGTGCAGTTTGACCAGCCTCTTTACTGTTTGCTAACTTTCAATTTTCATTTTCATGTGATAATTAGTTATAATTATTTATAATGGACTGTTCCTTTAATAAAATGTGGAAAAATCCATTTAATAATTTCCGCAGGTTAAAGCAGCATACCTCCAGATTCATGCTCATTCTTCATGTAAATTTTGAAAATGTATCTAAAAGAAAAATATAGTGCAGTGAACAAGGAAAGTAATTTACACATTACGAATGTCAGCACAGTATTATTACATGTATGTCATGTTTAAAATAATAATTTAAGTTTACAATATATTCTTATCAAATGAGCATAATAATGCTGAGTTATGGGTTATTAAAACATTTCAGTAATTTAAACAAATAACTTATAATCTTAGTTACAATTATTTTTAAAATGCTAAAAAATGTAACATTTTTTTGTTTGACCATTTTACCAATAGTGTATCCACAGGTAGCAGACGACAATAAATTTTAAAGTGGAAATTTGCAACTTCCGGTGTGTCTGCTACTCGATGTTGTGTTCTCAGTTACTTCCCCTGACGTTCAGTATATGAAATGAGGGTCGAGGTAAGATATTTTGAAGAAATATAAATTTTTAGCTTAACATAGAACAATACATTTTACAGATAAGGGTTTGTGAGTCGCTGATTACACCTTTAACTCTGCAACATATTTTAAATGGACTTGCCCATCGTCAAATCTGGACAAAACCATTACTCATTTAAGGGAAAATTCAAAAATATTTGTACTGACTTAATATCGAATAGTGCGGATCATTAGCAGATGTCAAGGATATGCCGACTGATTTTAGTTTAAACAATATTTTATTTATAAGTATTACATTTACATGATAATTGACAAATAATAAATAGTACGGATTGAGTAGGAAGCTAAGCTTTTCTAGAAACTCTTTCCTATTTTGGTCTGCACTGGTCGCACGGGTGCATGGTATATTATGTTGGCACTAGAAGGCTGAGAGTTAATCAACATATTGTGCCAATTACAATCTCAATACAAAAAATATACATTCAATAACTTAATTCACGGAAAGGTAAAAAAATATCGGCACTACATTAGTGATTGTGTCGAAGGAAGGGAGATAATTATGAATGTATTACAAATAAGGGAGATAAAAATATCTCTTATTATAATTATGCTATAAAATATCTTAATTAATTCTAAAGCATAATGTGTATTTTGTAATGAACTGGTGACTTTGATGGTGGCACTCCGATAAACATATCTTAATTTTCACCTTTATTTCAGTTTCAGTATTTGAAAATTGGGAAAGAACGAAAGATATGAAAT